GTCCCTGTGCAGAGGTTCTGAGGGGAGAGAAAAATACAGTCCCTTCTAAATCAGGAAGTATACAAACTCTTGTACTTACCTCTTTTCTTCTCTTTTTAATTTTATTTATTTATTTTAAGTAATCTCTATACCCAATATGGGGCTCGAACTCACAACCCCAAGATCAAGAGTCACACGTTCTGACTGAACCAGCCAGACGCCCTTACATTTTTCAACTTACAAATACTTAACACTGGTAGCCAGCCTCCAAGATGGCCCCCAATGGTCCTCAACTGCTAGTATGCACACCCTTGTGCAGTCCCCTCCAACACTGAATACGGGTAACCTGTGTAACCAATAAGATAGTGTGGAGACAATGGGTGTATGACTTCTGAAGTTAGGTCCTAAAAGACACCATGACTTCTGTCTTGCCCTCTTTTGGATCATTTGCTCTGGGGGAAGCCAGCTGCCATGCCATGAAGACACCCAAGCAGCCTATGGAGGGGTCAGTGTGGCAAGGACCTGAGGCCTCATGCCAACAGCCAGGTGAGGGGACCTTCTTGGAAACACATCTTCCAGGCCTAGTTGACTGTAATCTAAGCCAATATCTCGACTACATTCTCTTCAAAGACCTTGAGTCAGAACCATCCGAAGAAGCAAATCCAGATTGCTGATGTACAGAAACAGTGGGCGAGAGATAACTAATGTTTATTGTTTCAAGTTGCTCAATTTGGGGGGTTATTTGGCAATAGATAGAGAATACGCTCACTGATGTGCTCAAAGACACCTTCCAGAGCAAAATGCATCAGCTTTTATCCATCAGGCATTTTCATTTCAGTTATGGGATTATTAGAGTCCACAGCTTGTTTGGTAAATTCGTGTTGGGTTTTTGAGATATTTTATGAAGGTTGTCATTCCATTTTATCTAGGAAACACAAAAGCAGAGCTGAAAGAAAGAAGCAAAAGACAGAGTCGGAAGTGGGGATCAGAACAAAAGCTGAAAGTGATGAGAGAATTACAAAAAGTGCACGTGCCTAAGGGACGGTTATGTTCAGTCACTGTGACTCTAAAGGACAGAGGGCAGTGGCAACAGGTGGAACATGTCCACCATCAACAGCAATCAACAAGCAATGAGGAAAAGCAGTTGATGACATGGAGAAATCTTAGAATCTGGTGCCTAAAGGATTGGCACCAACCAAAGATTGGCTGCCCGTTAGCTTTTTGAGGCTCAGGGCTTATTTGAGGACTTAAAGACGAGACCTAGCAAAGACCCACCAGAGGTTCACTGGGGATGGCTCCTTGGCTTGAAGACCCGTACTGATCTGCACAGTGTCAAAATGAGCAGGAGATGCAAATATCTTCACTGCCAAGGACTCCCCACTGCACTTGTAGGGAGAAGGCTTATCTGCCTCAGCAGATTTTTCAATGTGGTCACTTCCTGATAGAATAAATGGTTATACTATTTCAAAGAACAGACTCACTCATTAATAGAAATGCCTTTGGTGACTGATCCTGCCTTTTTTTTTTTTTAAGATGTCATTTATTTATTTGACACAGAGAGTGAGAGAGCACAAGTAAGGGGAACAGTAGAGGGAAAGGGAGAAGCAGGCTGCCAGCCAAGCAGGGAGCCCGATGAGGGGCTCAATCCCAGGACCCCGGGATCATGACCTGAGCTGAAGGCAGACACTTAACCATCTGAGCCACCCAGGCACCCCGACTGATCCTCTTATTCATACATTCATTCAACAAATATCTATTGAGCTCCAAGAATGTGCTAGATACTGTTCTAGACACTAAGGCTTTGATGGTGAACAGGAAATTCATAAAGTTTCATTTTTGTTTTTAATGGGGGCAAAAATAGTAAGTATGTAAACAAAATAGATAACAATGTCAACTACTATTAAGTGCTTTGAGGAAAAAATAAAGCAAGGTATGATAGAATGAGTGGGGAGAGTCTTCTGCTATTTTCAGAAGGCTGGTCAGAAAAGGCTTGTTTGAGGAAGTGGTATTTGAGTCACCTCTTAGTAACTTTAGGTTTACCAATGTACAGACAAGAAACTGACTTTGAATCCTAACCTGTTCATAACTAGACCACATTTGTAGTTCAATATGGCTGCAGCTTAGAAGTGAAGGATGTGTGCAGGGAGAGGCTTGGTCCATGAGATGAATCTGAAGAAGCGAGCAGTAAACAAATCATAAGGGGTTTTAAAAGCCACAGTAACTAGCTTAGGCTTCATCTAGAGGACAATGGGGAGCCACAGAAAGGTTTTAAGTTGGGGAGTGAAAGGATCAAGATTATCTTAGATAATCACTCTTGAGGGCTGCCTGGGTGGCTCAGTCAGTTAAGTGTCTGACTTTGGTTCAGGTCATGATCTCGGGGTCCTGGGATGCAGCCCCGAGTCTGAGTCCAGCTGCACCCTCAGCATGGAGTCTGCTGTCTCCCCCCCTCTGCCCCTCCCCCTGCTCATGGTCGCACGCACTCTCTCTCTCAAATAAATAAAACCTTTTTTTAAAAAAAGAAAATTACTCTCGATATAGGGTAGAGACATCCAACCCTGAAGGGAGGGGAAATGGTTAATAGGTTGTTGCTGCAATGACCCAGACGGTAATCCAAATTAAATTAAAGAGGCAATGGGGCTAGAAGGAAGGCAACAGAAATGAAAGGCAAGATCTGGTGGTTGTAGAGTATGAAGAAGACAGAATAATATGACATGGAGAAACGTAGGCTCATTTATTGAGAATGGGAAAGCAGAGGGTTGAGGCAAGTGAAAGAAGATGAATTCAGTTTGGGACGTGTTGAGTGTGAGGTATCTACAGGACATCCCAAGTGACTGTAATAAGAAGTTGCATATAAAGGTCTGCGGCAGAACTGCGTCTGAGATAAATAGGTTTGGGAGATGAAATGGTCATTGAAACCAAGAGAGGACAGAGAGGTCATCTTTGTTGAGTGAAAAGTAAAAAGGGTCAATGGCAGAACTGCAAGGAAAGCCAACATTTATGGGATTGGCAGCAAAAGGGCAGAGACAGTGAAGAAAAGATACAAAACACAAAGACTGATCAGAACCAGTGAGAATCATCAGTGAGATGTGGGGCATTATGATTTCACAGTTCCATCTGGTCAACTGGCTCGTTCTGTGGAAGCCAGTCACTTCCTCATCTTTGACCCCCTGACAAAGCTGTTGTTCATTCAACAAATTTTATTGAGCCTCTACTATGTGCCAGACACTGTTCTTGGTGCTAGGGACACATCTGTGAGCAAAAAAGACAAATGCCCTGACTTTAAGGAGTTTACATTCTAGTGTGGGGAACATATAAGAAACAAACATTAAAAATAGGTAAATATTACAGGGTGGTAAATGCTATGAAAAAAAAACAAACAGTAGATTAAGAGGCATCAGGAGTATAGAGAGGGTGTGTAAGCAATTTCCAGTGGGGCAGAGTAGACCTCATTGACTCGGTGATACTTAAGCAAAACCTTGAAATTTCCCAAGTCGGTATCTGGGGGTAGAGCATTCCAAGCGGAAGTTACAACCAGTGCAAAGGTCTTGAGGCAAGAGCAAGCTTAGGAAGTCCCCAGGCAGTGAGGAGTGTGAGGGTGCTAGGGAGGAGATCAAAGAAGAAATAGGGAAGCATCAGGCAGGATTTCAGCCTCTGTTCTGAGAAAAATGAGGGACTCTGGAGAAGGTTTCGAGCTTAAGAGTGACATGTCTAAGGTTTTCTAAAAGGGTCAGTCCGCTGCATTTAGAGTAGATACTGAGTGGCAAGGGCAGAAGCAGGGAGACCTGCTGGGAAGCCAGTGCAGAAATCGAGGCACAAGATGACGGCGCCTTGAGCCAGGATTATAGCGGTGTGGGTTTCCGGATAGTCTGGAAGTGGGATGAAAGGGAAAGAAAAGACGAGAACAACACCAAGGCTTGAGTCCTAAACAAAGGAAAAGATGTAGCCATCAACTGAGACCGGAGACTCTGGGAGGAGCAGGTGGGTTTTCTGGGGTGTGTGGGGAGTGAGGGAGAGAAGGGTAGGGATCAGCAGTTCAATGCCTGGACTGGTTAAATTTCCGACGTCAATCCAAGTGGAGATGTCCAGCAGGAAGCTGCCTGTACGAGTTTAAAGATCGGGAGAGAAGTCTGAGCTAGAGGTCCATGAAGTTGTCAGCATATAACTGGTATTTAAAGCCTCAGGGACGAACAAATACACAGTATGGAGTGGGATGCGTGCTGCCAAGAAAGAGCAGGAGAGGGAGGAGGGAGCGGGAGTGCCCGCGCGCGCGTGTTTGTGGGGGGTAACTTTATGAAATACGGCCAGAGGGACAGCCGCCTTCCGGCGCTGGGCGGCAATGTGGCGCCATGCACGCGAGGCAGGCGGCCCTCCGGGCCAGGGCAGGGCGCCGAGGCGGCAGGGCGGCCCAGCAGGCCCACGCCCAGGCTCAGGGCCACGGCTCTCTCGCCCGCTTCCTGCCCGTCGGCCGAAGCCGAAACTCCTCTACCGGGTTTTTCAGCTTCCTCCCCAAACGAGTGAGCTGTGAAGATGGGGGGGCAAGCCGAGGAAACGGCCGCAGGGCGGACTTCATTCATACTATACAGCTCGACTGCTTTAGAGTCGATCTTAAGAACTGGTAAACTCGTAAAAGCAACACAATCACAACTTTTACGATGACCCGAGAGCCCGGGAGGCCTCCCTTCCGCGCGCGAGCCGCCTCGCCCGCGTCACTCTGAGGTAACAGCCTTTCTCTTCAATCGCTCCACGGAACCCCCAGGGCGGGAGGCCTCTTCCACTACGGGCCGAAGGATGGATCAAGTCACGCTGCGCGAACAAGGCTGATCGAGCGCCACAAAAGGATTCGCAGGGCGGGGCGACCCGACCACCCTCTCTCTTGTTTTCATTGGCTGCGATCGCGAGACGCTCCTCCCGGACTGGCTACTTGGGAGCCTCGGAGCCGGCAGCAGCCCGCCCCTTGGGCGCGCGTGCGCACGCGTGGCGGGTGCTCACCGCACTGAGCAGGCGCGGCCTCGTGTCGGCTGAAGGGGCGGGTGGAGCGACGCGCGCTGCGTCCCGGCGCTTGGCTTTCCCTGCCGGTCCCGCCCTCCGTCGCGGCGGCGCGGTGTATTTTGGGATAGGGAGCGATCTCCGAGCGAGGCAGCAAGATGGACGCGGGATTCTTCCGCGTAAGTAGAAGCGCGGGGATCTGGGGTGAGGTGAGGGGCTTATCGGTAAGACCCGGCAGGGGGCCTAAACGCGGGACGGTTGTGGCCAGCGAGGGGAGGCTTCGAAGATCCTGATGATCTTCCGTGCCAGCGGACGCTCCCCCCTGCCCTGCGGCGGAGACCGGTGCGCCCCTGCGCAGTCTCCTCCTCCGGGATCGTCCCCCCTACGCGGCAGCGACGGTCGCCGGAAAATGGCGGCGGGAATGGGCCGGAGCGGTACCCCGCCGCCCGCCTGCCTGGTGGGGCCTGCAGGCCGAGCCGCGCGCGCCGCCCCGTCCTGGGGCCTAGTTGGGCCGCGAGGAGGAAGTCCCTGTGGGGAGGCCGGAGGGAAGCCCTGAGGTGACTGGCGGAGGGAGGATTCTGGAGAGTACGGTTTTGAGGGTACCGCCCCAGGAGAGCGTGTTAGGAAGGACAGGAAACGGCGTTCGGCGGCTTCTCATAAGAGAGCAGCGCCGAATCCCCCCCCACTCTCCGTGCTAAGTCTTCGCGGAGGCGCGGGGTCAGAGTTCGCGGGAACTCCCGCCCAATTTGATAATTCCTTTAGGGAGGGGAACTCCGATAATAGGTAGTTGGAACGTTTGAATCTGAGACTAAGGGCAACCGGTGCAACAAAAAGTGTGCACGTGTATGGAGGCAGGGGCCGGGGGTGGATCAACTCTCCTTCCCGCACACCGCCCCCCACCCGCGTTTGTTTTACTGTTTTGAAGTCCGCTGGAGAAAAAGGGCCTCTTACTTAGGTTCTCTCGGGGCCGCGCGCCCAACACCTGCCGGCGGGGAAGCTATCTCGTCGAAGTTGGTGCTCAGGGCCCAGACTTTAACAGGCTGGTACTGCTGGAACCTGTTTGTCCCATATTCCACTCCTGTAGGAAATGATTACCGAGTAGAGATCTAGATGGGTGGGAAGTGACACTAATAGGACTAAAGTTTGCACATGCTTTTGATGCAGAACGGACCATATGGAGACCAGTGGTTTTGGTCAAAATCTATACTTTATGTAGGTTGGCTCTTTCCACTCCCTGGAGCGTATAATTCGCAGTTTGCGTGTTTTTAAAGGGAAAGTTGGAAGAGGGGGAAGACCGAGTTTAAAGAACATAACTCTTGACATTCTGAAGGCGACAATGAAATTCTTTAATTGGCTTTAATTGTGCCAACTAGTTTTTCATCAAAAATCTCAGGATTATTCCAAGCACCTACTTAAAATAGGCAGTTGTTTGTTCGTAGGCTGTGCAAACAGATACTGTAGTTATTTCTGTAATGATAGTCTCAATTGAGAGCTTATCAAATTTCCATTCTTTTGATGAACTGGTTTTCTAATTTCCATCAAAGTATTCTGTAGTACGTACTCAATATTCCCGTGATGCAAGTGTAGTATTTTGACACAAAAGCCTATTCTTAGGATTTTTGTTGGCTGTTATTTCCAATGAAAGAGAGTTCCAATAGAAAAAGAACAAGGCGGTTGATAAATTTTTAAAACAACGTTTGCTTTTGGTGTTGCTAAAAATTTGGAAGAAAAAAAGAAAAAAAAATCTGGGTTTTTATATACTACCTATTATTCCTTAGAGGAGTTGACTGGATTTAAAATCCAGTTAAAAGAATTTAGGGAGTTACCTTGTTAGTAGAGTCAACCAGATAGTAAACTGAATTTTTCAGTTCAGATAGTAATGATAGTTTTCATTTGCTGATTTCTGCCGCATGCCAGTTACTTTACATACATTATTTTTGAGATACACAGCCCTTGCAAAGTAGATTTTAGCAAGTAAGGAAACATTCTCAGAGGTTAAGGAACTTTGAGGTCATTATGGCTGAAGTTTTGGCAGAATTGGGGTTCTAATCCAGGTTCTTTACCTTCCTAAACAGAATTTTTTCTTGATCTCTTTCTAAGGGACAGTGGCCAACTTAGTGCAATCAGTAGATTTCACATCACATAGCCGGTTATTTGGTCCAGTTGGAATGACAAAATGCAGACTAATTAGGGATCACTTAATGGTCTCAATTAGTATTTGTAAGCTCTCATTTTTCCAAAGTCATTGCTGAAATTAAGTGAGTTAATTAAGGTAAACCTGTATTTTTCATGTATTCCAAGTTCTTAAAGTTGTGAAAACTAACAGTTCTAGGGAGTTTTCTTTTTCCTTTTCGACCTGTTTATATGCATTGCCACAATAATTTTGTAAGCATGCTACTGGTTGTCCCAAGAGGATGAAATTTAATGGTCTTGTTTGGATGTGTATAGTAAATATTTCAATTTTTCTCATTTATACAAAACCTTAAAAGTCTTTTAACAGAAAAAGGTGTAAAAAGATACACATCAAACTTGGTT